CGCCAGCCACGCATTGCCGTGTTCCCTCTAAGAGTGGACCATACTGTACAATCACTGGGAAGGCAACAGAATTCACGCCAACTAAGGGATGCTGACACCAACCAGCCAGTGGCACAGGTCAGGCAGCGCCTGACACGATACGTCATTGGACTGTTAGGCTCGGCGGGAAATGACAGCGACAGAGATGCCCCAGCTGCGCCACAGCACCCAGCCTTCAGTGAAAGGCAAGACGAATTGCGCTGGGCTAGGAGCAGTGCGACAGTGAACCGTGCCATAGCGCGAATGAGCACTCGAACTGCGATAGCACCTGATGCCGTTTCGGCACGCCTGGTAAAGTGTTTCCGCCCACAGGCTAGAGAGAGCCTTGCGGACCAGCTTTCCAGCATCCTTGGTGGCCAGGGTCAGATAACGCTGGTATTAAAGCAAGGTGGCGCGGAAGACCTGCTGTGAAGGTGCCGCCCTACCACGGTCTCTAGCGTGATGTACCGCCTGGTCCCCGGTATCCTGAGGGAATGGCTAAGTGGCTGGGCTGAGACGAAGAACTTGCTGACGGAGCTGGAAAATGGGTTTCGTCCCGATCGTAGATTAGAGGATAACCTTTTCACTCTGGCCTAATGTGCTGAAATAGCAAAGTGTGAATGGACATTATAGCTGCGCTGTTTCCTGTATGTGCAAAAAGCCTGCGGTAAGGTCCCACAGGTGGCATTGTTTGATTGCTTGATACACTTCGGACTTCCAGAAGCCCTCATCTCGACTGTGTGACATATGTGATAGCGCACTTCGGGGATGTTTAGTCAAACCCTGTTGTAGTACTGAGGGGCCTGTGCCAGGGTTGCCCACTGTCACAATTACTGTACATACACCACGTCTCAAGCCTCGAGAGAAGGTTTATCAACTCCAGCCTTCCTTTTCGACTCCACTACACGACCAGTGGTATCGATGAAAATCGTCGTCTCCAGGGCTTAACGTTCACAGACGACATCATGCTCATGACAGAAAGCACACAGGAAATGCAGGCACTGCGGGACATCTAGCTGCCAGACAGAGATCACTCGCCTGGGGCTTTGCTTCAACGTTAAGATGACAGCCACTTTAAGACTTGCGGGCGAGTGCGCCAAGGAAGGAGGTGTGAGTGTGCGCGATGCCAAAGTAAGCAGCTGCACCGAGTACAAGTGCCTGGGTGTGAAATTGTCGTTATGGACGGAAATGTACAGCATACACTAGGCATAGACACGCGATCGCGGGCTCCGTGCATCCTCCGGCGTCGGTGTTTGTGAGGCTGCAACCGATATTGAATGGTTCGTGACCTGTGGAAGCTCGCCCACGTGCCTGGACTGACGTTTGCGAACGCAGTCGTGAGCATGTCAGCGGCCACTCATGAATGCTTGCAGCACAGACAGCGGAAAGTGGGACGCATCGCTCTGGGATTTCATGGCATGGTGGCAAACGAGGCTATCCAGTGACTCATCGACTGGTCGAGCTTCGAAGCGCGTGAAGCGGCCAACAAACTGACGTTCCACTGCCGCTTGTTGTACATGACTCGCCAGAGGTTGTCTCGAAGAGTATTTGACTACTTCATGACGACATGTATGACCACCAAACGGATACAGCAAGTATACGATTTACAAAAAAGTATGGCTTTTTGCAGGCACCGCTTGCGGCTGATAACAAGCGTAAGCGCACTAAAAAAATTTGCCAACGTGTAAAGGAGGCCGAGGAGGCCGGTGCAGGCGAACAACTCTACTCTTTTACCGTCAGCACGAGGACACCATCGCTCCAGTCCCACTTTATGATATCTGCTTGGGAAATGTGCTTTTGTTTGAGGCGAGAGCAGGGGCCCTGCGTACGCTCGTCCGTAAACAAGCATACTACAGTGAATTCATAAGTGTGGTGTGTCACGCGTGTGGTGGGGCTGATGAGACCATCGCACAAATTGTGACAGAGTGCACGCAACTTTGCCCTCCTAATGTGAACACAGATTTCGCTGCCACGCTGGTTTTTGTTGGCACAGATGGCGTGGTAAACTACGCCGCAGTGAGGCGCACAGCGAGACTCATCTAGAATAATGGAGGCCGGACTTCGTGAGGGTTTTCTTCACCCACCAGCCTGCCCAGTCTGCCTGCGCTTTTTCCGCTCTTTTTTTGTGTCTTTTTATTGTACTATTTATTTATTTATCATTGGCTAGGATGCCCGCCTGCTACAAATGAAACAGCCTCACTATCGTCATCATCATCATCATCATCATCGTGACGTCAGGGTACAGTATGAACCGAAACTAGCTTAAAAAACGTTGTAAGTAATTGTTCCAGGCGCACTCACGCTTATTGATGCATCGCTTGGCCTATCATTTAAAGGAGAAAAAAGCGATGAATGAAATTTTTCATGTGTCACTTTAACTGCTGTACCCAGACACTATGAACGGCAAGCTTTTCGTTGCACCATAAAAAATGGATCGAGAAAAATCAGTTGTGCGTCCCTTCAAAGGGACACTCTACCGTCCTTCATCACTCTTCTGTTTTGTATCGAAATAAAAAGCGTGCAATCTGAAAAACCCAACCTTGCAGCGATTTCTATGGAAAGTGAGTAGAAGTTCTAAGACAAATTTTTTCTCTACCCGTGTTAGGTCTTGCTGCTTTGTGTGATGAAAGTTCACAACACTAGCTGGTAGGGCCGATGGCAATTGTAGTGTCCGTACAAGCCTAAAACTTAAACCCTGCGCAATTTTTGTAGGCTTCGTCAAGTTTTGTTTTCTAGTAAAACGAATGCAGTAGTGCTTATCTAAGCACACAAACCGCGAAATACCACACTGTTACAGCAGCTTCCCCTCCTATAATTATACAGCCTGAAGGATTGCCCCGAAAGATTGCCCCAGTCGGGCGGAAAAGCTTATTTGTCCCGGAAACACCGACAAGCTTTTGTTGTGAAACTAAATGTAGTGTTGCATTCATGCCAAAGGTGCTACCGAAACAAACATCAGACGTGCTTGTCAAAGAAACAGAAGGCCGGTGCCTGCTTTATTGCAGTTATGTTCAGGTGTTCCGTGTTGCATATGGGATGCGAGAGCCAGCATGGACGTCTTGGTGAAGCGGAACATGAAGACAAAATCTTCAATGAACCACAGTGAATTCTAGTGTGCTCTTTACGCGCGCAGTGTCACTAGACTACGTTGTATTCACAGGCATGGTTAGAAAATTCTCCCAAGTCAGTCACGTTGCTCTTCGCCGAAAACGTTGTTTTTGTTTGTTTGCTCCTATTAGCGCCAGTGGACGCAATCTCCACGTTTCTTCACCGTAGACAGGCAAGAGAACGCACCGCCAGCAGTTCCACCTAGCGACTCTTTGAATACGCGAGATAAAACGCAAAGATTACTCATTGGTGCCACGTTTGGCTTCCGCAAGTGCCTAAAATGTAAACAAGCTATACATATTCATTTTAGGCAGAATGAGCCTACCTTCGTGTATTTCCTGTCTTGATAGTAGATTGACAACATCGCTGTCGGGTGACGCTAGCAGTAATTTTTTATCTACTTGTAACATCAAATTAAAATTGTGATTCACTTTTTATGGTAAAAAAGCATGCTCATTGCCGCCGATATGATGAACTATCTCCTAGTTTTGGTCACAATCAGAGAGAGAAACAATTTTTCGGTGAAGCCCGTGAGTAAAGGTGGGAAGGTCCCTGTTTCCAGGAACCCTCTGACCTGGACAGCCCACCGGGGTCGAGCTACGAGTTGATGATGGTCGACCAGGTCCGGCTGGGAGATCGTAGCCTCCCACGCTTCACTGAGGAGGTCCTGATACGCATCTGGTACTACTGCTTGTATCCTTAGGATGCTTACTTTGCACTGCAGTAGGAGGTGCGCCAGAGTGTCTGCCACATCGCAGTGAGGAAAGCTGTATCTATGTAACGCTGGCCTAACATGGCGTCATAGTGCGCCGCAAGTGAACGTGTTGCTTTAAAGGCGTCTGTAGTCGGTGCCCTAGTCTCTTGCGAGTTTAGGATGTGACGGAGGGTATGACCTGCGTTCGAGCCAATAATGCAGTAATTTATCATACGTTAGCGGTACGGGTTTTCTTGCTTCTGCTTCTGTTGTTGAGTGGGAGGTTGCCTCGGATCTCTTACGGCGATGCCCGGTTGACGCAATCGCAGGCTCCGGTGTGTGCCGCTTCATTTCACTCGAGACCTTCGTGACCTGGAACCCCCACGATGCATGTGTAAGGGGGAGCATTTTAGTATGCGTTTTAGTATCTTAATCACCACCGTGGAGACCCTGCCTTTCACGCAGCTTCGCGCCACTGGGAATTTTTTTCCCGAGCGGTAGACTCTTCCTTTGAGCGTATGAGCGTTGTTTCCTTTTTCTAAAAGCTGACTTTATGATTGAGTGCCTGAGTGAAGGTACGAATTCAGCGACGTCGACTTGTGAGCCTTGCAGAGCTTTACGACACGCTACCATCGCTACCTAGGGAAGTTTGTAACAGTACGTGGTCGAAAACTCTGTAGTCTTCCTGCGGCTTTCATAACATTACTGCAACCACCTGTGGTGTTCCTTAACGAGCACCTAAATCCAAGTACACGGTCCTCAAGCATTTTCGCCTCCATCGCAAATGCGTCTGCCGCAACCTGCGGCTTTTCGCCAGCAGCTGAGCACCGTAGTCACTGTACCACCGCAGCGACCTTCACGACACTTCCATTAACTAGTGGTATTGGCACAACAACGAAAGATGCGAGAGCTTTGGAGTGTACGACCATACGCCCATGTAACCAGTCCTTACGTCATTGTTTACTCCTGTTGATGACACAGCTCCTCGAAACTTCCCCATCCAACGAGGCATTTGTTTTCGTATCACAAAACGGGGCGAACAGCAAAAAATTGCTGACAATTTCACATTCACTCTTTTCCTGACCCGTTATGTGTTGTATGACTTTCTCAAACAAGGCGCGCAAAACGTACACTAGAGATTTTAGTAGAAATATATGGTTCTTTTCGTCTTTGTACTCACCATTAGCCTTTGGCAAACAACGGAAAAGGAAAAGCGCTCTGCTGGTCGACTAACCCAAACAATTTATCACGCTGAACACAGACGGAATTTTCGTGAGGAGCTTGCGTCTTTCGTAAATGCTCGTAGCGGTGCAAATTACAGCTGGCTCCTTTGTCGCGTAGACATGCGAATCTCATGCTTTACGTTGAGGAGAGTGGAGAGAAGTCGTGAGCTGCACTTCGCGCGTTTGTTATGCGAATGAAGCCATCGATGACACGAGAGCTCCGACATTTTGGCGGCTTTTCGAAACTCAACGGTAGCACACCTAACGTCGCAACATTCACAGCATTTGTTCTTCTGTCGAATTCGTGGGAACGCACGCACGAGATGAAAATGAAAGATTGAGCGTTTAAGCGAAAGGTTACGATAGAGCCTTCGTGTCATAGCAACCTGCACGCGCACCGCCGTAGCAGCTTGCAGCTGGTCAAATGCTTCGCTTTTTTTTCTGCATTGTTCAAGTGAGCAAGGTCTCTCCGCACGGTAAGCACTTTGATAGATGCCCGAATTGCGCCAGCAGCAGTGGCAACAGCCTCTCGCTACACAGGTAGCGAATGGTCAGCGGTTGCTAAATGAGCAGTGACGTAATTGTTACAATAAAACAATAACCAGATGTGTTACCCGTTCGCTCAAGAAAAATGAACGCGCTAACACTCTGTGTTACTCATAAAAATGTTACCGAGTTAACATTAGTTACCGCAAAATAGCCACAGCTTTGCCACAGAGACGAAGCAATGAACGCAATAGCAACAAATTGAAAGGTCACGCGCAGAATGGCAAGCAGATCGAAACATGTCCCTCGTTTCTCAGGCACAAATTACGCACAAAATGTACTCACAGGTACACAAGAACGCGAATAAGTATCTCAGTTGTTACTTCGGTGTGTCTGAAAAGTGCACCCTTTTCGCAAACGAAGGCTGTGCAACGATTGCAGTGATCTTCGTGCGCCCCGTAACTGCAACAGAATCGTTCCGGTGCAAGCCTAACGCCAGCCAAGGCGTATGATCCTCCCCGCCGGGAGATAAGAGCACGCGAGAGATCGTGCACTCCCCTCCTCTCCATAGGCCAAAGTAGGCGTGAGAGATGAAAGCCACCACGCGCTCGTTGAGCCATCTTGCTGATATCGGACAGTTATAGTGTACCGAACTTACCGGGATACCGGGCTTACCGTGATAGTGGGATCAAAGTGCACGTGCAAAGATACGTGCGTTACCCGTACTGCCTACCGTACGAACGCTATTTTTCAGATTTAAAGTTACCGTTGATGATGATGATGATGTTTGGTGCTCTGTGGCGCAAGGGCCACTTCATGGCCCAACAGCGCCAGTTCATGAACAAGAGATGTGAACAATGGTTGAAATTAGCGGCTGTATAGGGGCTTTAAAATTCCTCGCCCTAAGGCGGGTAAAAACGCAGAAGTAATAAAATCATGACCATGCTGTGAAAAGAGTGTAGTGTCGATGTATGACAAAAGTTTGTGATAATAATGATGATATATGGTGTTTTTTGGCGCAAGGGCCATTTGGTGCCCAAAGAGCGCCAGTTCATGGGACAAGAGATGTGGACAATGATTGTGATTAGCGGCTGTATAAGGGCCATAAAATTCCTCGCAGTAATGCGGGTAAAGACATACAAGTAATGAAATCATGACCATGCCATGAAAGGTGTGTGTGGTGCGAATAGATAACAAAAGTTGGTGATAATAAAAACGATGGTGGACAAGTATGGCATTAGCACAAGTGCCTCACTCGTTCATACCCTTGCGTCCAAGGGTCGTGAGGCAAGTGCTTTATTTTGTAGCCACCGCAGTGAAAATCTCTCTGGAGAGGTCGTGCTACGGAATGCCCGGGTATATGATATGAAAACTATGAATTTCTTTTAAAAAAGCCAACAATGATTTGTGACTAAAAAGCGGTTCCCTACCGATGAACATTGCAATGTGTAAAGGTATATGTTGTCGGTAGAGGGATGGGAAGTGTTATTTTCTTAGAGTGTTCAATTGTTTGCACTGAATTAAAATGTGAAGAACTATTCGTGCTTCACCACATCTGTCACACGATGGTGGATCGCCACCGGACAAAAGATATGAGTGTGTCGTGTATGTGTGTCCTATTCTGAGCCTCGTTAATGTTACCTCTGTATGACCTGATTTTGATACTGGTGGCCAATGGCCAATGTGTGGCTTGATAACGTGTAGTTCGTTTTGTGTGTGTGTATCCCACTTGCTCTGCCAGTAGTTCCTGAGCTTTTGTTTGAGAGACGGCTTAAGATCAAGGGCCGGGATTGATATGGGTGTAATAGCGGCGCTTTCATGGACGGATGCAGCGAGCTGATCCGCCATCACGTTGCTTTGAATCTCACGGTGCCCTGGCAACCAGCACACAGCAACATGTTGGTTGACTGTGTAGAGTGTGCATAAAATGGAGAAAAGTGGGACGAGGACAGGGTTTTTTTTGTTTTTTAAGACTGTGCAGAGCCGTTACCACACTGAGGGAGTCTGTATAAATTACTGCTTTTTGTATTTGCAATTGTTTGATGTGTTTAGCTGCCACAAGTATCGCGTAAGCGTCCGCTGTGAAGATACTTGTGCCTGGATGTAGAGGGCCAGCATCCGAAAAGGAAGGGCCAACAGCAGCGTAGGACACAGAGGAGTTAGACTTAGAGGCATCTGTAAAGAACTCAGGACATGTGTATTTGTGTTGAAGTTCCAGGAAGTATGTTCGGATATGGGCAATAGGCGCATGTTTAGTAACTTCTAGGAAAGACTCATCGCAATCTATAGTCTGCCACTGCCACGGTGGCAGGTATGCTACAGGTGCCATTAAACTGTGTTCGAGTGACACTCCAGTGTCTTCAGCTAGACCCTTCAGGCGAACTGAGAATGGCTGCCTCATTGCAGGCCTGTTTTGAAACAGAATGGAGCTCGACAAATCATTAATAGTAAAGTCTGTGGGGTGCCTCTTGTTTGCTTTCACCTTAAGGAAATATACAAAGGACATGTAAGTTCTTTGCAGATGAAGCGACGACTCATTTGACTCAACGTAAAGGCTTTCTACGGGGCTGGTGCGAAAAGCGGATGCCCAAATGGTGCGCGGGATCAAGCATCTTCAAAGCACTTTGAGTCGCAGACTGATATACAACGGCCCCATAATCTAAGCGGGTGCTAATGAGGCTTCTATAAAGGTTCATGAGGCATTTCCTGTCGCTACCCCACGTAGTACGTGACAACACTTTTATAACATTCATGGCTTTTAAACATTTTGTTTTTAAATACTTTATATGTGGTACGAAGGTCAACTTGTTGTCCAAAGTTAAGCCTAGGAATTTATGCTCCGCATTGACAGACAGACGTTGGCCGTTCAGTTCAATGTCGGGTTCTGAGTGCATGCCTCTCTTTTGGGAGAACAAGACACACCTGCTTTTTCCTGGGTTCAGCCGGAATCCGTTTTCCTCTGCCCATTTGGAGACCTTGTTTAAACCTAACTGAATCTGCCGCTCAGACATTGCTAGGTTGCATGACTTAAAGCCAAGCTAGACGTCATCGACATATGTGGAATAGAACATGTTGCGGGGGATGGACAGGTGCAAGGAATTCAATTTAATAATAAAAAAGTGTACAACTAAGTACACCACATTGCGGTACTCCCGTTTCTTGCACAAATGTTTGCGAGAGAATACTGCCCACACGGACACGGAATTTCCGATGGGACAAGTAACTCTCGTTTAAGGAAAACATTCTACCACGCACACCCAGGTGAGACAAGTCTTTTAATATGCCAAAACGCCATGTTGTGTCGTTCGCCTTCTCGATATCGAGAAACACTGAGAGGAAGTATTGTTTGTGGACGAAAGCGTCTCGGATCTGTGCCTCGATACGCACCAGATGGTCAGTGGTGGATCTACCCTCTCGAAACCGACACTGAAAGTGGTCGAGCAGATTGTGTGTTTCAAGAAAATGTAAAAGTCGGCGGTTTATCATTTTTTCAAAAAGTTTACAGAGGCAGCTGGTTAGTTCAATGGGCCTATAGCTTGAAACTGAGGAAGGGTCCTAGCCTTGTTTCAAAATAGGAATAACAATAGTTTCTTTTCAGAAAGCAAGGATGGTGCCAAAAAGCCAGATAGCATTGCATAGAGAGAGTAAAGTTTTTCGCATTTTAGGCGGCAGGTTTTTCAACATTTTATACGTGACACGGTCGTAGCCTACTGCAGAAGTACTGCTAAAGTTTAGTGATGTTTGTAGCTCAGCTATGTTGAAAGGTTGGTTGTATGCCTCGTGTTTTGTGCACTTATATTCTAGTTTCTGCTTTTCTATTCTAGCTTTATATCTTTGGAAAGCTTCAGTATAGTGTGACAAGCAAGACACTTGCTCGTAGTGTGCACCGAGGAAGTTTGCCTCATCTTCCAGGCTGTCACCCTGTGTGTTTACGAGTGGAAGTGAGTGTACTTGTCTTCCTGCTACCCTACGAACCATGTTCAAGACTTTAGCCTCTTGTGTATATGAATTTATTCCTGATAAAAACTTGTGCAAGCTTTCTCTTCTGGCTTGCCGACGCGTTTTCCTGCCTCGGGATTTTATTTTCCTAAAGCTCTCAAGGTTTTCCGCCGTCGGCGAGTTGCGCAGCAACCTCCGTGACCTGTTCTGTTCCTTTAGCGCATTCTGACATTCAGTGTTCCACCACGGGACGTGTCGTTTGCCGGGCAGTTCAGATGTTTGTGGAATGGACTTGGCTGCTGCGTCAGTAATAAAAGCCGTGAAGTACTGCACAGCTTCATCTATGCCTAATCCGCATATGTCAGTCCAACTTAGGTGTGTTCTCTTTTGAAATTGTTCCCAGTCGGCTTTGTTTACCAGCCATTTTGGAACATGTGGCGGACATTCATATATTATTGGTGTACTCAAAACTAAAGGAAAATGGTCACTTCTGTATGTATTATTTATGACTTTCCACTGAAGTAATGGCACAAGTGAAGGTGATGCGATACTGAGGTCTATGGAGGAGTAAGTATTGTTTGCAAGGTTATAATATGTTGCCTCTTTCCCATTCAACAGACAAGCACCTGATGAAAACAGGAACTGTTCGATGAGACGACCTCGTGCATCACATCTACAGTCACACCATAAACCGCTGTGCGCATTCAGGTCCCGTAGAACCAAATAAGGTTCTGGTGACTCATCTATTAAAGACTGGAAATCATGCTTTTCCAGGCGGTGTTGCGGCGGTATGTATAGAGAGCAGATAGTGACGAGCCTATTCAATAGAACTGCTCG